CACACACACACACACACACACACACACACACACACACATTCATGCAGGCACTCTCTTTAAGACTTCTTTCTTGACAGAACACAACTTCAGGAAAATATGGAAATGTTCAACACGGTCAACCACAGGAACCTATCTGACATTCATAGAACAGTCCCACCTACAAAAGTAGAATTATTTCAAGTTCACCAGGAGCATCACCATGGTAGAGCATACTCCAATACATAAAAACCAATAAACTCCAACTTGATTCTTTTTTATTATTTTATTTAAGAAATTTTGTATTTATTTTACATATCAACCACAGAACCAGAGATCCCCCTCTCATCCCTCCTCTCGCTCCCCGCCTCAAGCATTTCCCACTCCATGCCCTCCTCCAAAAGAGTAAGACATGGGGAGTCAGCAAAGCCTGGTACATTCAGTTGAGGCAGGACCAAGCCCCTGCCCCCTGCATCAAGGCTGAGCAAGGTATCCCACCATAGGGAATAGGCTTCAGAAAGCCAGCTCATGCACCAGGGATAGATCCTGATCCCACTGTCAGGGGCCCCTCAAACAGACCAAGCTACACAACTGTCTCCTGTATACATAGGACCCAGTCCGGTCCCATGCAGTCTCCACAGCTGTTGGTCTAAAGTTTGTGAGTTCCCACAAGCTTGGTTCTGTTGTCTCTGTAGATTTCCCCATCATGATCTTGACCCGCTTTGCTCAGAGAATCCCTCTTTTCTCTCTCCAACTGGACTCCCAGAGCTTAGTCTGGTGTTTAGCTGTGGATCTCTGCATCTGCTTCCATTAGTTACTGGATGAAAGCTCTCTTGGTCCAATCAGAGGTAGCAGAATCTTTAATCACAACATTCAAATTAGAAATCAATAACACAAAACTATCTGGAAAATTCTCAAATGTTTAAAAACCAATATAACTTTAGATCATTATTGTAAACTGAAAGAAATCTGTGTGAAAGGGAATTATTTAGCACTGTTGGTGGGAATGTAAATTAGTATGATAATAGAAAATAGTAGGGGGTTCCTCAAGACATTGAAAGTAGAACTACCATGTGATTCAGTAATCTCACTACGGGGTATAGATCTTGGGGAAATAAAAGCAGTCTGTTGAAGAGGTATCTTCATTTCCATATTTACTGTGGAATTACAATAGCCGTGGAACAGAAACAAGTGTCCCCACCCACAGATGAATGAATGAGGAAAATGTTGTACATACACTGTGAAATGGGTTGGCGTTATGAAAACAGAAGGAGGTGCTGAAGAAATGGTTAACTGGTTAAGAGCACACACTCCTTTTGGAGAGGACCCAAGATCAATTTCCAGCACACATTTCAGGCAGCTCACAACTGCCTGTGACTCCAATTTCAGGGATCCTATGCCCTCTTCTGTCTCCACAGGCACCTGCACTCACATGCACAACCGCCCCTAATCACTTCCAACACAGGTAATTTTTTTTTGATGTTTAAATCTTTTTTAAAAAGAGAACAAAGTTATGCCATTTATAACAGCATGGATGGAAAGGGAGATAATTATGGCAGGTACAGAGAGCCAAGCACCTCGCATGTGGAAGCTAAAGATGTTGATCTCAGAGAGGTAAAGAATAGAACTGTGGTTAGGGAAGCTGACGATGAATAAGGAAACAAAAGGCTGGAGGGAAACCGACCAACAGCTACTGAGCTCCAGTTAGATGGGAGCAAGGAGTTTGGTATGGAAAACAGCAGAATGGCTATGAACAGTGACGGATATTTCTGAAAACTTGAATAAGAGGATTTAGAACGTCTTTGCCATAAAGCAACAATAAATGAGAAGATAGATGTGTTTACCCTGATTTGATACACGTATTAAAATATCAATGGCACTCAACATACATTGTTTTGATTAGATAGATAGATAGATAGATAGATAGATAGATAGATAGATAGATAGATAGATAGATAGATAGACAGATAGATATGTTAGGTGCCTTTCTCATAGTGGCAATAATAGATGCAACTTAGCTAGGAAAGGACTTACATTTGCTCACAGTTCAGAGTGTCTCATCCATCCTGGTAAGAAAGGCACGTGGGGAAAGCATTGGGGGAGGAGAGCTCACGACACAGCTTCATCACATCCTGGCAGCTTAAAAACAGAGAAGGGGCTGGAAGTGGGGCCGGGTTATAACGCTTAGGGCTTGCTCCAGCAGCCTGTGTACATCAGACTCCATGCCTCAGAGGTTCCATATTACCTCAAAATAGTACCACCACCTGGGTAGGAATGTCCAAACATAAAGGAAACAGGTCACAATCAAGCCACAAAAAATAGGCTAAAACAAGTTAATTTTAGAATGAAGTATAAGCTATTGAAAGTTAAATTTTTTTGTTAGAACAAATAAATTAATACAAAGCAATATATGTGAAAGCCTTGATTGTAAATCAGAGCTCATTACCATTTAATATTCTTTCCCCCAAAGCTCCACATTGAAGGTATATGTTGAAACTACTTAAATTCCATTATTCAAACATTTAATGAGACAATAAAATTTAAAAGGTGTGTGTTTTTAGGATGTATTGTTTCACCCAAAAACTGCCTTCAGAGAAATAATCAGAGATTTAATATGCTGTACCATTTTATGGTAGGACACATTACTTCACTCAGTGAATATTTACTAACATTTACTATGGCAGTATAGGTAATAAGCTCATTTGTTTTATATTTTTATGAGACTTTTAATTTAAGGAGGTTGTAAGACAGGTAGATTAAATGCTTCACATATGTTAGATATTATAAAGTACACTGGGTTTTCAGAAGAGAGAGAGGAAAGGGACACAGAGAGACAGAGACAGAAACAGAGACAGAGAGAGAGGAGTTTGGGCCTCAGATAGGCCATCGTCACTAAACAAGCACTAGCGATGCTTCAGAAAGAAAGAATCATCGGCAAACACACCAGCTGTGTTAAGGGGCACTGAGTCTTTGGAGTACTACCTGTGTTATGGGGGTACTGAGTCTTTTGAGTACTACCTGTGTTATGGGGGTACTGAGTCTTTTACTTCCTCTGGAGTCTGGTTCCCTCAACTACACTTACTACAGCTGTGTGGGGTGAGACTAAGGAGGTAGGTAGAAGACAGAGACTTACTCAGGAGGGTCTTAGCAATGTGGAGCTGGGTGTTTGTCGTTCAAGAGCCATTACTGCTATAGAGATGTTCTCGTTGGTTTACCGTAGTCGCAGCTGGCCTAGGGAAGATGGACCAACCACCTGCCTCCACCTCTTCTCATACATCATTTTATCACTTACCGGTTTTCATGTGTTTGTAGAGGAACCAACACATTTGTAACCATTATATTGCTCTTGCAGGCTGTTTCTACTCTGCTGCTCTCATGAGACTATAGCCAGTCTTTTGATAATTTTTACTTTTATCGTATTTTATAAGCTAAAATTTTAATATTAAGTGGATTTGACGAGATACAAAACAATCCAAGATTGTTGATACTTATTTTCCGATTCATTTTCCCAAATACTTGTGCACATTTACGTTTCAAAGTAAACATTACGAAGTTTCAAAGTTATCAGCCTGTGGATTTTAATGTTTACCTCTGAGTGTGGTCTAAGTACTGCTAAGGCTTTGATTAAATAATACTCCATGAAATAATACGGCTTAAAAAAAAAGCTTCCTCTCTATAAAAGAACATTACTAAGCCTGACTAAACACTTAGAAAGTGCATTGTGTTAAATGAAACCTTGTATGTAATAAATAATGAGGGTAGTAGCGGATCAGATTGGACAACTGTAATTGTCTCCAGAAAAGTAGACAGTGAGGCCCGCTCTTTCAGTACTTCCTCAAACAGCCAACACAATGGGGAGAGTAAAGGAAATGTTCCATAAAAACCTTGAAATGGGAACCAGAAAACCTAAGACGTTGACGTGGGGAAATGACACACAAGGAAGCAGAGGCAGCAGAAATAATGCTGTCCATCATAATCTGAGATAGATGAAAGGCCAGCATTGCCTAGAACTGGAGTTTCACAAGGTGAGCACAGAGAGCGAGGGTTTTTGTCCTTCACCATGATCCACAAACAGCTCCCTGACATGGTGCTGCTGCTGTTGGCTTCTTGCACTGTCTCCTCCCTAGACTCGAACCTGATTCTCTTCCAATCAAGAATGGATGGAGAAAGTCTACAGCTACTCAAGGCTTTGCCAATCTCATCCAGCCAGCAGTGTCTGGCACACAGGAAAAATTTCCTGCTTCCTTGGCAGCCTGTGAGTCGTCACCAGTACCAAAAGGGACATGCCCTGGCTGTTCTGCACGAGATCCTCCAGCAGACCTTCAATCTCTTCCAGACACATGTTTCTCTGGGCATTTGGGAGGAAAGCCGTGTAGAGAGGGTCCTAGCTGCGCTTCACCAACAGCTGACATCCGTGGAGTCACTAGCTGGGCTAAAAGCAGAGCAGAAGAGAGGGGGCTCCAGCGTGCAGAGCCTTAGGTTACGGATTAAAGCATACTTCAGGAGGATCCACGATTACCTGGAAAGCCAGAGGTACAGCAGCTGTGCCTGGATCATTGTCCAGGTAGAACTCAACCGCTGTATGGTCTTTGTGTTCAGGCTCACGGGATGGCTGAGCAAACAAGAACTAGACCCTTGAACACGGTGAAGCAAGAGCCAACAATGGGTTTTAAAAGCGTGGGTTGGTGGCAGAGTGAGAGGCGATCTATGAGCATTCCGGTTTCTTCTTTGGGCTACGTTGCTTTGCTTCTGCGGGTGTTTAACTGTGTCTGAAGATTGCATGAGTTGGCCACAGTTGTTTTCATTTTGCCATGCTGTGTTATGTTTCCTACCAATTTTAATTTATTTGAGAATTAAAATGAATTCATGGAGATTTTATAACTGGTTCTTCAAATGGTGAAGTTTTCACAGAATTTTGCAGTTAGATATGATGAACTATGCCTTTAATGTAGTGAGCATTCCTTAACGTACAGCATTCATTCCAATGAATTCCTTGTTTACCAGAAATTGTTAGAGGCAATGAGTAAGATTTGAAACTGCCACCAAATACTGAATATTTCTGTTACAGGAGACGAATACAAATACGGCCAAAATACATGAACAATTTGCAAAGGAATGAAAACAGATTTAATCTCACTCTAATAATAATAATAATAATGCAGATTACAACTAAATAACATCCCATTTAACCTATTCGGTAAGTCCTCAAGGTTTAATTAAGAAAAATAGACTCACAGACTGCTGAGGAGGCAGGAAATTTTTCCTGTGTGCTAGACACTGCTGGATTGATTGGTAAATGCTCTTATAATTTGCCAGATCAGCAGAAGTTGGTACAAGCCATATTCACACCAAGAGAACATGATTCTGCTGAAGAGAATAAGGAGACACTTCCCCTACAAAAATACATAAAGCAAAAAAATAGGAAAATGTGTATAAGTGGTATATTTGGGCAAAAACCATGAAATAACTTTAATATTTGTACTTTCTATCCATGAAGAAGTAAAGAACACATGAAATATAAACTACAGCGATAAATTACTGTACTGTAGAGGAAGGAATGACAGATTTGGGGATGCAGACTGGAGAAGGAGAGTTTTTACTCTTCTTTCTAAGTGGTAATTTTGAGTCATGTGCATATGACAAATTAAGTTAAATGTATCTAGCTAGTTAGAACTATCAGAAGGATCAGTGAAAGAGCCTTGCTGCTGAACTAGTTGAAGGCCATAGGAAACAAGAATGAAGCAGCCTGCTCTTGGCTGGCAATGGCTGGGAGGTGGAGGGCTGGGGGGAAGCTGATCATGCCCCAGGGAGGGGTTTCTGCTGCACGAAGGGTCTGCTGGTGACAGGATTGCATCTCTCCTAGGCAAGCCTTTTATGAAATCATCACAGAGCAACGTGGAGCAAAATGTCTGAAGTCCACTGAGACTTGGTATCTTTGCTACATTATCCAGATACAAGCTACAAGGCAAAGGACAAAGCCCCATAGCTACTTCTACTTCACAGTCGTTGCGTAATCTGCCATGGAAGTTACTACTGAATGGAGAGGCTTGCTGGAGAACCAGACAATCCCAGTTTAGCTTAATCATTGCAAGCAACTGTTGGTGGATGCTTCTAGATTGAGCTTGAAATGAACTGGAGAAGCTGAATGGGCTTCTGAATGTGAAGCGGTCTCCACAGGAAACAATCTCTCCAGCAACTGAAACACAGGAGCTAGCTGGCAGGAAAAAGTCCTTGCTGACTTCACCGTGAGGCCCAGGACAGGATCTGTTTACCTTTAAGTTCATGCAGAGGTAGTGGAGTCAGGGAAGAAGTATTTACCACACTTGACTGAAAATACAGGTCGTTTTGCTTCTCGTGGTCTGGAAAACTTTTTGTTGCTGTTTTTCTCCTTTAAACCAGGAAGTTTCCAGAACCAAATCCGTCATCTAACAATTATTCAACTCTCCAAACAACCTCGCAAGGTACTTTCTGTGATTATCTGTTTTTCTCAGGTGAAAACAAGACTTCAAAGATGAAGGAACATGCTTAAAGTAACACAGCAAGCCCCAGCCAGAGCTAGCAGAAGCCACAGCAGGAACTCCATCCCAAGGTACCACAACTTGTGGCGCAAATGCCCCCCCCTCTCTGTTGCAATATTGCAGCAAAATAATCATTTGGGATAATAATTATCTTCTAGCCTGTGTTATGCCCTCTGAATCCTAAATTAAAGAAAACACATTTCCCCTCCTCTAGATATCCCTTTCCTCAAAACTGAGAGATCAGATAGTCTATGAATGGTGAGAAGTGGAAACCACCATAGCTGTTATACAAGAGTGTAGAGCAAGCCAGGCAGTTGCCTAGCACCACTTTAACCCCAGCACTCAGGAGGCAGAGGCAGACAGGCCAACCTGGTCTACAGTGTGAGTTCCAGACAGCCAGACCTACACAGAGAAACCATTTGGAGGAGCGGTGGGGTAGAGTAAAACCATCTCTGGTTCTGAATAGCAATCAGTAGGAGACAGAAATGGAAGTGGAGGGTGGGAATTGCCCACCTCTTGGTAAAATTGTGGAGGTGGATGATGACACTGAAGTGTAACCTTGGCCCTGGATATGGAAGACACGGCCTGAAATTCCATGTCTACTAAAAAAAAGGATCTTGCCAGGTGGCAGTGGTGCGCGCCTTTAATCCCAGCACTTGGGAGGCAGAGCCAGAAAGATCTCTGTGAGTTTGAGGCCAGCCTGGTCTACAGAGTGAGATCCAGGAGAGGCACCAAAACTATACAGAGAAACCCCGTCTCAGAAAGAAAGAAAAAAAAAAAGCAATTGTTCTGTTAGACTCCATTTGGGCCATGAGTGTGCTGGGTGGGGTCAATCAAATGACTGAGTCTTTCCCACTTTTAAAAAACAAACAAACAAACATGTGCTACAATGCAACTAATGGAAAAGGAAAAAAAAATGGTTTCCATCAACTACAAGGAAACATATGTAGCTGTGTCCAAAAGGAAAACGAATGGGATTAGTGACCACAGAACAGTAGTTCTGACACATATAATGTATATTAAAGTGGATAGTCATGCTTCTCCCTGCCCCACATGCAGGGCACTGCATCACTCTTCTCATTACCGTGATCAAATAACTAACAAGAAGGGACCTAAGGGAGGAAGGGCTTACTTGGCTCTCAGTTCAAGGAGTTACAGTCCAGCATAGTGGCCAAGGCATAGCAGCAGGAATGTGAGGCATCTGGCCATATAGTTCACAGTCAAGAATCAGACAACAGGCAGAAATGGAGTCAATCTAGCAAACCTCAGCACCCAATCCCAGTGACTCAAACTGTCTACAAAATCCTGTGTCCTATTTTCTTCAGCTTTCCTAAACAGCCCCACTGGCTGGAGATTAAGTATCCAACACCTGTACCTATGGGAACCACAAGTGCACACATTCTGACCTGCAAGGGTGCTTTCAAGTGTTTCCTAGTAATCCCTTCAAGTGCAGAGTCCAGAATCTTTACATCACAACACAGTCTTCTTTACAATGGCTGGACATGGCCTTGTGCACTATGGAGACAGGACAATGGTGACAAAAGCCGACATTCAGAGACATGAAAGGACATTTTTATGGTCCACGATTGGGTGCTGAGATAGGTATGATACACTCGTAGATTTGTAGAGTATTTTCATGAGTCAGGCAGTGATCCTGCCCTCACCATGACAAGCTTTCCATGTTTGTGTCTCCTTAATCTCTGATGCTGCTCTCTGGGACAGTCCTCCACATCTGTTACAATCTTTCTGGCCCACCTGAAGGGCTACAACGGGTTCTCGACCACCCTAAGGAGGGAATGTAGGGACAGGAGATACAAAGGAAATACACCAAGTCTAGATTCTTATCAAGGTGCAACTTTATTTTCTTCCAGAAAGGTTTATATAGTTCCTGCATGGTTGGGGGAGCAAGAAGCTGTCATCTGCATAAGGTGGGGCTAGCTAACAGGATGTTTGTATAGGATGTTTACAGGGTGAAAGGGTCAAGGGCTCTGACTCAATGTCCTGTTGCTAGGCAACCTGACTGTAAGATGATCTAGTTCCCTGTCTTATTGGGGGGTCTGTATTTTTCCACTAACTAGAGATTCTGTCCTTGTCCCTGACATCTTTCTATGAGTTTTTCAATATTATGGTCCAGTCTAGGTCCTCACTCAAGCACTCTATGTGCCTCACACTCTTTTCCTTTCCCTTTTTTGGGGGACACATTTTGAGATAACATCTCACTACACTGAACTCACTCTGCAATCCAGGCAAGGCTTTTAACTTGAAATTCAGAACAACTGAGTTATATCTTGTGCCACCAAACCATTTAACTAATGCACCCAGCTGAGTAAGAAATGGTTATAATATACCTTTTATGCATTTTCATTAATTCACTTACCCTTTTTTACTTTCATTAAATAATTTCTTATTATAAAACTACTGTATGTGCCAGGTGGTGATGGCGCACGCCTTTAATCCCAGCACTCAGGAGGCAGAGCCAAGCAGATCTCTTTGAGTTCAAGGCCAGCCTGATCTACAGAGTGAGATCTAGGAGAGGCACCAAAACTCTACAGAGAAACCCTGTCTCAAAAAACAAACAAACACTACTGTATGAGCACATGAGCATTGAAAAGACAAAATGGAAAAAAGAAACTTATTAATGAACATCAAAGACAGAAATTCTTTTTTTAATTCAATTAAAATATAATAAATTATTTCCCACTTCTCTTTCCACCTAACCTCCCATGCTTGCTTCCCTTTTCCATTCATAGCCTCCTCTTCTCTAGCCATTGTTGTTATATATACATATAAACAAGAAACCACTCAATATTGGGGAACCAATTAAGGGGCTCATCCCTAGAGAAGACTAATTCTCCCTCTATCAGAAGTTGTTCATTGCTTATAAGACTTCCTTCAGGGTAAAGGCCCATCTGGGTCACCATGTCAACTGGTGTTGTCATTGTTCAGGTCTGGTTTAGGCAGCCATGTTGTTGAGATTTCCTGGTGTAGCTTCCCTGTCATATCTAGAAGGCACAATCTCAAAGCAGACTTCTTGGCACCCTGACTCTTAGACTCTTTCTGACCCTCTTCTGCAATGTTCCCTGAGCCTTCAGTTGGGGATTTGTACTATAGATGCATCAACTGGGCTCGGCACCCCATGCATTTGACTGTGATGGTCACCTTCTGCTGTAAAAAAAAGGGGGGGATTACTTTGAAAGAGTTGGGGGTGTGAGAACTTCTTTGATGGGGGAAGATCCACCCTTGCCTGTGGTTAAGTATTAGAGTATAGTTAGGAATATAGTGGTTTAAGGCAGGTGGTAGTCTCTCCTGGGCTGGACAGTTGGCTCAGCTCTTAAAGGCTAGACTCACAACCAAAGATACAAGGGCAGAAATTCTTAAATCTTAGCACAAAGGTATCAGTTAACTTTTTTGTCACAGGACGTTAAGGAACAGACCAACTTTTCAAGGTAGTGCATGGCATTCCCTGTGTGGCAGGACGAGCCTTTGCACTGAATGGGAAAGATAAACTCCTTTCTTACTCTGTCCCAAGAAATGTTCTAGCAATTCCCATGTCATCATTTTGACTCTTCATTTCACCTCACATCTCATATCCCCTGGGAATAACATGATTTTTTTCCCTATGTCTCTGAGTGTTGTGTGCAGAACTTCACATTGTTCTCTGTTTAGATCACACATGTCAACCAAATTATAGTGGTTGTTTGAGCTATTCTTGAATTCTGTGGGGAAACAATATTCACATTAACATGCCTCTAGATTAGAGATGCATGACCACACTTTTCTAGCTGTGGTGATTTTGTTTTGTTGCATTTTATTTTAACATTCTTCTGGAGTCTGTGAAAGTATTACAGCTCCAGAGGGAAAGGTATCTTGACTTG